CAGCCAGACTTCTGCTCCGTTTAGCTGGGCTCGGGTCTATTCTCAGTTCCCTTCTCTCTGGCAACTGTAAGAATGTGGACACCCAGAACCCGCCCCCTCCTGTCCTTTGCCCCAGGGCCCCCCTCAGCTGTTCTGCGGACTAAACAGCACAGTCCTTCCCTCTTAATTATTACTACCTAACACTTACAGGCATGGTATTTTCACATGTGTTTATAATCTCTAATGATAACTTTAATGCTGCATAATATTATATCTTGTAACAATTCTCTATAATTGGATATTAAAGTATCATTCTTTGTACCATTATATTTAGTTCCCTGATGATCATCTTTGTGGATAATTTTTTGTCACTAATATGCAAATTCCTTCCCCATGAAAGTCTTGGCTTTGAAATGGCCAAGACGTGTAGTTATGCCATGGCCGGGTGGCTCAGTGGCTGCAGTGTCATCTGGATATGCCAGGGTTCCGGCTTCCATCCCAGCCAGGGCACAGGCAAGAACCAACCAATGAGCGCGTGAATAAGTGGAACAACAGATTGATCTCTCTCTGTCCCCCCCACCCTTCCCCATCCCCCCTCAAATCAACAAATACAACATAAAAAGAAAGAGGTGTGGTTGGTAGCTGGCGATGCGGGCTGCTGCGAGCCCTGCCGTAGGGTCTGCTTGTTCTCCTTTAGCTGTACCATCGCTGGGTATATCACCTTCATAAACTATTTTTATAAGTGACACGACAGCAGTGTGTGATGGCGGGGCGGGGATGGGTGGAAGTGGAAGAGGGTATGGGGGTTAATGGTAAATGGTGATGGAAATAGTAAAATAAAGGGGGAAAGTAACATCTTTCAACCAATCATGACAGATGATCAGCTGCCCAGATTCTTAAGTGAAAATGGGCCGGAAGAGTCTTGTGCTTCTCAGCTGAACCTTCTCTGGGTTCTGGGTGAGGGACAGCTCCATACGAGCTCCCACTGGGACTCTTCCAGGTCCACGCCAGCCCCCTGCCTGCACTGACAGATGCTCCTGGTGGAATTTAGCTAGAGATAGGCGTGCGTATGCGCATTATTTGCTATAATAAGAGTCATAATCACTAGCTTCTACCGAGTGCCCGCTCTGCGGCAGGCATTTTAATAAGAGCTCGGGGTACTGCTGAAAGTGGGTCACACAATTCTGTCCTTACGCAGCATATATTCTAGTGAGGGGAGACAAACTCACATTTATAAAAATGTTAGCAATTATATAAAATAAGTCGGATAAGTTCATGTAGTCATTACACTATTTATAAACGAAATAGGAGAATACGATGGAGGGGACTTAGGGAGCCTGCTTGGAGCATGGGCACGGTTCCCTCTGGAGGAAGCAGACACGTCGGTGCAGACTGCTTCCAGGGACAATATTTCTAGAGGAAAAACATGCACAAAGACTCTCAAGTAGGAACCGTGTTGGAATGTTCTGGAAGCAGCAAGAAGGCCGGTGGCTGTTTTAGAGAACCAAGAGGAGGAGGGAGGCGTTCTTAGCAAACAAAGCAGGTCAGACCATGGGAACGTTGTAGGTCATGCTTAGGACTATGCTCTTATTTAATTGGGAGCTAGGGGAGCCTTTCCAATAAGGAGGGCTATGAAATAATTTATGTTTCTGAGTGTCACTCGCCTGCTGTGTGAGGGATGGACTGTGGTCAGGATAAAGCAGACTGTGCTATTGTCAGAGACTTTAGTCAATACGAGCTTATTTCTGGTTCATGCAAAGTCCATGGCTTCAGCAGACTTCAGTGCTGTCCTTGACTTACCCCTGCCCCTAGAAGCCGTGCGCTGGGAATGAGATCAGCACCTGCGTTCTAACAGGTGGAATGTTTGCAAAAGCAGCTCTTGGATTCCGAGTGCACTCAAGTGTGTGCTGATCCTTCCATCTCCTCTGTAGTGCCCTGGAGGCCACGTGTTTACAGGTGTCACCAAAAGCAGATGTGGCCTGATCCCTGAGTCACTGCATGGAGAGGAGAGCGCCTAGCGGTGACCCCAACATTACTAAGTTGAGGCTGAGAAATTGAAGGGAACATATTGATATTTGATGGACAGTAACTGCCTGGTTATATGAGGCTGGTGCCAGGAGGCACCCGATGCTGGCCACCCCGAGGCTGAGAGCACTCCGGGCCTGTTATGAGCATCTCC